ATATCTGGTATCTGTTGTGCAAGAACCCGACTTGTTTTTTATAGTTGTTGGGAAAAGCAAGGGTTTAAGTATTAAGAATGATGTCTCTTCTGTATCAAAAGTCATACTACATTTTATCCTTTTATCACCTTTGGACGCTTCCAGTATTGTTGAATTCCTTGAAAAGACTCTTCTTGAAACACCTACTCAAGAACCGGTTTGTGATGTCTTATGTAGTTCTTCATTTTCAGTAAATGAATTGGCAGACTCATTATTGGAATGTACAGGTGGAGTTCCTGGTTTGTTGACTCGTGCAGTAAATATGCTTTTGAATTATATAATACCAAGAAACCAGCCTTTCATATCGAAAGAAGAATGTTTGACTTGTATGAATGACTACGATTTCCGAAGAATTTGTGCTGAACCATTTGTGGAACGAATATTGAATTTGGACGAAGATAGAAAAAGTGTTTTTGATTTACTTTTGATGATGGCTCTTTATCGTATACCGTCTAAAGTAGATGATAGATTGACCTCGGAGTCCTTTTTATATGATGCCGTAACAGAAATGGGACTATATCGATATCCTATTGACCAGAATACTTTTCAAGTCCTAATTCCAAAAGTATTTGTTGGAATCTTCAAGAAGGACCCTTCCGTATCTTCTTTGGAAAAGATACTTCTTGGATCACTTGATGTAGAACCAGTAGATTGTTTCTTCTATTCAAAGTGTCGTGTATTTGAAGGAATTGTTGCTTTACGACTAGTTTTGATGTTGTCTTCAAAGAATCGAAATGAGTTGAGGGGATTGTTGTGTCAATTGTCTCCGATATGGAAACAAATGAAACTTCCAATCAGTACAATATCACCTATTCACTATATCAAGTCTGTCGTTAGTTCTAGAGAAACAAGAAATGAATCGAACAAGAGTCGAAGAACTTTTGCCAATACTGAATGGAATAAGATTATTCGAGAGACACTTTATTTAGAGACTATTTACATTCCTTTGGACGCTACTTCTCATAGTCCTGATATTATATTCAAATTACAATCTCCTGTGGAACCCAAAGTTCTTACTGTTGGAGTTGCATGTAAAGGACGTTGGAAGTCGGAAGGAATTGGCTGGTCAGATATTATAGATGAAGCCAAGAAATTTTTAGATCCTGTTTATGATCAAGTCTTATCCAGTGCAATGGATTATCATCATTGTATGCTTATTATCGTTAGTACAAAGTTATCATTGAATGTTTCTAATGAGTTGGGTAATTAGAGTCGTTGTTACTCCAGTGGAATGTTTATTGGAGGTGATTTTTTCAAAGTACCTGATAATTGTGAACTTGTTATTCTTTGTGAAAGAGATGTGGAAATGCTGATTGACGACGAAATTTTGAATGGACTTGAAAGAGCATTTCATGTTTCTCATAATCCTACTTTTTGGGATTTTGGATTAGATTTACTTGATAGAATCCGTAACAGTTTCTTAAGTTGGCAATAGATTCTAACTCAGTCCTTCCCTTTGTGATTTGTTTTGAAGAGCAAGTAAACTTTTTTTTGTATGTTTGAAACTCGGTTACAACTTATTTGCTTTCACTCTGAGGATTATTGTCTTAATATGGTACTAACCACGAAAATCAAAATAAGCCTATTGTTGTAAAAGTCACTGTCACAGTTTGACAGGTCTTGTTTGCTTCTTGTTACTTCTCAGGAGAGTGTCTCAAAGTGTTGATAAATGGGTTTTATACAAGGTCTTGTATTCGTCATAGACTTTATTTATGGTTCGCCTCAAGTTGAAGGTTCCTCAGCTGGTCTATTTTCTAATAGCTCAGAGAAGTTGTTTTTATATACAATTGCACAGAAACCAATATCCACTCTTTATTACAAAAAAATGAAAAAGATAGTTTTTATCTAAAAGGCAAATCATGTTCTTATCAAGACTTGTCCTAAGCTTCGAAAGACTTTCGTCGCTCTCAAGAGTTTGAGAGCATTGGACTGTTGGAAGAAGATTGATCGATCATTGTTGTATTTTACTGTCGCATAGTTTACTTCATAGCTTACGATATGTCTAGTGAGCTTGAAGCAGAAAGCGTGTATGACATGGTTGTAGTAGACCGAGAACAAGATGTTGGTGTAGTAACACTGCAGTTATTTAGGCTATACACTCTACGTAAACTTGGTCGCCATTTCAAACCAGTCATACCCTTTGGTCCCCACCTCTTCGGAAGTGGGAAGACAAAATTCGTACAAAGTTACTTGGAACTGGTGAATAATATGGGTGAAAGTGCACTGATAGGTCTCGATTACGTTGGTGAGTCTGAGAAGGCCAACCGAAGAGGTTTCCTGGAGAAGCTGAAAAGGGCTTCATTGCTCTTTGTGGATTTGAGGGAGTTGGAGCCCACTGGACCGATCGAGGAAGAACGCAACCTAAAGTGGGCAGTCTACTATTTGTTAATAAAGGTTGCTTGTCTGCAATCAGGTCTTCCGCAACCAGACCCGGACGAATGTTTCAAGGAACTGAAACTTAGGACTGATGCTTTGGTTCAGAAAATCCGTTCAATCTTAAACATTCCTTCGGATCAATATCTTTTGTTGGCATTTGACGAAGTTGGTGTCCTTGACGAAAGTCTCGACGAATTTCATTTCAAGAGAACCAATGACGGTAGAGTTCGACCTTACAATGACTTTTTCGGTATCATTAGTCAATTGTGCAAAGAACCCGACTTGTTTTTTATTGTTGTTGGGAAAAGTGAAGGCTTAAATATATATAATTACGTAGCTTCAGTCTCAAGAGTTCAGTTAGTGTTTATTCCTCTTTCGCCGCTTGAGAAACATAGTATCGTGGAACATTTGGAGAAAAGTTCTTGCTTTTTATTCCCTGGGAGCCCAAAGGTTTCAGAAATTCTTTGTCACGAAGACTTCTCAACTAGTGAACTTGCAGAATTGTTGTTGGAATTGACTGGTGGTGTTCCTGGTTTACTTGTTCGAGCAATCAGTTACCTTCTGCTGTATAAATCATCCAACAACAATTTCTCATTATCTAAGGAAACCTTCTTGATCATAATGAATAGCTTTCTAGTAACAAATTATTGTGTTGCGCCATTCTTACCTCGTCTGATAAGTCTCAGTGAGCAGCGTAAGTGCTTGTTAAGAATGCTTACGTTATTATCTTTGTATCGTATTCGATTTGATTTTGATGAAACTGTGCAAATGAGCTCAAATTCTGATGTGTTTTTGTTTGATCTAGTTACAGATATGTGTCTCTATCGTCGATTGGTTATAGACCCAGACCACAACGAACGCTATGAAGTGTTGATTCCGAAGTTACTTATTGAATATATTGACCAAGGCTTAAAGGATGATCGTTTAGAATGGTTACTTTTAGAAACTCTCAAGTCTCAATCTGTTGAATTCTTTTATGAGTCGAAATGTCGAATTTTTGAAGGTCTTATTGCTACACTGTTTTATTTACATTTTTCTCGGCATCCTACAAACAGCTCAATGTTTTCTACTCTTGGTCAATTGTCTCGTGTTTGGAATGAAATGAATTTACAATTTTCTTCCGAATCTGCTGCTTATTATATGAAATCTATACATTATACCAGAGCTGTATCAGGAATGGAGAGAATGACATTTGGAAGCAATGAATGGGAAAGGATAGTGGAAGAAATGTTAGAATTTGGAAAGATATATATTCCATTTCATTCAACATCCCATAGTCCAGATATATTATTCAAGTTGCATGGAAGAACGAATGAGAAGAACTTGATGGTGGGTATTGCTTGTAAAGGCCGATGGAGTCGTAATGGTATTCGATGGAATGAAATTTTGGAAGAAGCTCACAAGTTTTTAAAACCAGTGCATGATCAAGTATTGACTAGTCATTCTACATGGCATTGTATGTTGATTATTATGAGTACTCAGTTAGCAACCAACGTATCTGAGGACTTGAATCATTCTAGTCGTTGTTATTCATCTGGCGATAGTGTTGAAGATTTCGTGATTCCTCACAACTGTGAATTGGTTATTCTTTCTGAAGCTGATGTAGAAAACTTTATTGGCAAAGACATTTTATCGAATTTAAGGAACGCTTTCAAATCTGTGGATAATCCACATTCGAGAAATATTGGCATTTCAACCCTACAAGAAATAGTTTTATCTCTTTCCAAAAATATTTAGGAATATTTTGTTTTAATATCTGAGAATTTTTCCAGAGTTAGATACTTTCAAAAGTTGTTCTGCATTGGGCTATTTTATAAGACATTTTCAAATATCTTTGTCAACTTCAGGAAATTCATTCCTCTAACCACAGTTGCGTGTTTTGGATGATACATTCTATTGTTATTGGCAGTATAATGTATAAATTGAGGTTACAACAAAGCCGAACTCTGACTTCAAAGCTTCTCTGGTTTTCATGAAAAGCAACTCATAATTTTCTTTTTGACATTTTCTTATAGTGACAAGAGGAATGTTTCTCTCGTACAGATAAAATGTTCCATAATGGAAAGAGAATATCTCATGTTTGATTTTTTTGAAAATAGACGACTCCATGGCTACTCAATGAATAGTTATTTTTTATATTCTAGATGCTGTTCTACTATAGGACTTTCTGGTTGTAAACTTGACTTTTTTTTCATAGGACATTAATGATGTACAAGCGTGTATCTGATAATACTGGGTTTTTCATTTTTCTCATTTACAATGCTGTAGGAAACGAACATCACAACCTCAGGCACATATTTCTTACAGTAGGGAAAATTACAATAAGGGAGTTGCCAACACTTGAAAGCATAACTTGGAGTATTTGCAGTATACCACTCAACAAATAACGCTTTTTTTCTTAGCAACTTTTTACTTAACAGAAACTTGTAACAATATATCCAAGCACGCGTAGCCCAACTGTGAGGTAGTCAACGGGTTATACAGCTTCAAAGATTGTGCTCTTTCGGAGTACGCATCTCCTGAATTCTTGATACAAGTCTTTCTTCCAGCGGTTTCGTTGAAAGTATGACAAATACTAGAAGAGTTCTTCTAAGAGTCAAAGAGCTGCTCTTTTCTTCAAGTTTGTGAAACAGAATCCATAAAGGTTAGAGAGGTTTTGAAGCCAAACGTCTGTTTAGTAGCTGAGAGTGGAGGAGAATCTTCGACTTGAGACAAAGGTTTTTAAAGAGGCTGTAAAGATGCAAGTCAAAGTCGGAGAATTGAGACAAAATTCGACTAGTCTTCTCAAAAGGTACAAAAACCCAATAGAAATTTCTCATACAAGTAGTCAATAGCAGAAAAGAGGAAGCCATTCAAGTAAATAACTTGGTCATCTGTTCTAGTGATTTTTGTCCATACTATGAATAAGGTCTGTTCAACTTTACAGAGTGCTGCAGACATATCTCTTGCTCATTCATGGCTTTGTATCTATGACTTTTGGGAAAGACTAGAATGCTATCACAATATATTCATTTTAGGAGAGAGATTTTAAAGATTCTTTCGAATCTCGGAACTGTCGTCCACTTCATAATGAAAAAAACTATCTTGTTTCTTTGCACTGGAAATAGTTGCCGTTCCCAGATGGCCGAAGGTTTCTGTAGAAAACTACGTGGAGATGAGTTCGAAGCCTACTCTGCTGGAGTCGAACCCAAAACTTTAGACGCAAGAGCAGTTGAGGTTATGAAGGAAGTTGGAATTGATATATCCCAGCAAAAACCAAAATCCGTTGAACAGTTACCAATAGTAAGCAGCAAATTATTATATCTTGAGTAGAAAGCTAACGGTTGGTTCAAGAAAGATTTCGATCTAGTAATAACTGTCTGCGGTCATGCCAATGAGAACTGTCCTTTCTTTCCCAACAAGACCAAAGTTATTCACGTCGGTTAGCTATTTGAGACGTGCCTTGTATATTTTGTTAACCGCAAATAGGTTTTGAAGATCCTCCTCTTCTTGCGAAGGAGTGCACAACCGAACAACAAGTTTTGGAAGTCTATAGAAGGGTACGTGATCAAATTGCAGACTTTGTCAAACATTTTGCTCCTCCCAGCTGAAGTTATAAAGAATATGTTTGTTGAGTTGATCAAAGTTATTTTCCAGACGTTCTATTCTCATGGATGATCTCAACAACTCATAAAACTAACAAGACAAATCTTTTCTCATATAGAAAGCACAACAACCATGGAAAACGAAAATGGTACCTTGCAAATATTCTTCCTGTTTATCACTGTCACACACAGTCGAATATCAAATTTTTCTGTTTGATAAATTCACTTTTCCTAATGTCGCAATTCCTCAAGATATCTAAAACAGACAGACGAAAACTACAATTTCATAATATCTCTATCATGAAAAGACAAAGTTCCAACTTTTTGATGCAATAAAAGAAATATAGACAATTGATGCCACAAGTTCATTCACGATATCTCAAATTGGAACTTTTGTTATCCGTCAGCTTCCTACTTGATTGAGAATACCGAAGGACTCTTTCAACCTCATGTCTGTCTTCTATAAGAACAAAAAAACCCAGAACGAGTTGCAAAATAAACTTGTATAATAACTTTATCAGAAACTATGTGTTCCTCTGTTCTACCCGAATAACCAACTACAATCAGGGAAGCTTCAATGGGTTCCCGAAAACCAGAGAATGAGAAAGTAACTAGAATACTGAATTCTTTCAAATCTTCCTTCCATTTCGTAAAG